GATGCATGGCGACGTCTCACTAGGCTGGAAGGTAGCACTGGTGCAAGTAGGGATCAGAATGATTGCACCGCTCTGATGCTTCATAGGACTCCCTCTAAGGAAGCGAAGCAGCCTAAATCTTTATTTGGAAGCCTTTTTAATGTCCTTTCAATGTCATCATCTCCAAGGGAGTCTCGACACATGAGCTTTTTGCTGTCTTAGAACCAGCTCCAGATGCATAAGCTGAGCTGGCTTTGAAACTGACTTTGGTTTTTCCTGCTACCGAGCCAGCTGATCTGCAACTGCATCAACGATGATGCCTTTCGGTTTGGGGTTTTGCAAGGCTCTCACTTGCCATCTGTCTCCCACTGTGTCATCCTCCCTTCTGGATCTCATGTCCAAGACAGTCTTCCCTCACCCCTCTCAGCTTCAGTCACCTGCTTCTCAGGGCTTCTGCTCAGAAAGGCTCTCCGCTGGCTCCCTTAGCCAGGGTTCTCTCCCTGGGAAATAAGCCGGATGGCAAAGGATGCTGACCTCCCCTTCTCCCACTATCACAGTGCACAGGGCATGTTGTATTTAATGGCAGGATTATGGGCTTTTCACTTTCTAATAAGTCATTCCAATTTTCTCAGCAAACGGCCAGATAAATGCATGCAATGACAATTGATAAAGAAGAGAGAGAGGAGAGTGTTAGAGAGATAGTCCAGATAATTCTTTCATGCCCCTTTTTCTGCAGAGTGGAAATTAAGGAATTTTTATGACTTAAGGATGGGTGCTAATTGGAGCCAGAGTGTTCTTTAAGTTAGTATCTTTGCATTCTCCAATTGCTCACCTGGAAATAAAGTCTGGACTGTCTCAGGGTTACCTCTGAGTATGGAAGCCGGTGGAAGAGATAATGGATGGAGAGTGGCCTGAGATACATATAAATGGCCTATATGTCCACTCAAGCTTTTAATACCTCAAACATTTATTGTAATAAGGACTAGCTTTAAAATATAAATACCATCATCATCATCAATTTATGCGGATACTCACCAGAAGAACAATGAGCAGCAGCACCATAGCCAAAGTAATGACCACCGCCAAAGATGAAAAGTCCAAATGGAGTATTCTTGTGTTCCACTGACAGGGCGTGATCTGTCACCTTCACATCTTGTTCAGCCCATGAATATTCTGTGCCTGGGATCTGTGTCCAGCTGATTTCCCCTTCTTCAATTGTGATCCGACTAGATTCTGATGATTTAGCTATAATTAGTGCATGATTTGTAAACTCCCTGATTCCATAAATGTGGTATGAACTGCAATAGCATGCTATGGCAGGGATGTTCATGAGGAAGGAGTCATACCAAACACCTCCTTTTTTGGCACCAGTAAAAAACAGGTGGACCTGGATGCCAGCATCAGCAGAGATGAAAAGTGGTTCAGACCTCTGCACCTCAACCTTGAGAACTTCCCCAGCCACCAGAGTACGGGATTCTTCCCTGGAACGAGACTGATATTTGAGCAAAGTGTTCTCTGCAGAAACAATATATGCAGTATCATATTGTGTCTGGAAAGGAAGAACAGGGACAATGAAGGTGGTTCCCCAGCTCTGAACTGGCAGCAGCTGCTCAACAACATGGTCACAGGCCCCAAATTTCTTAGCACAGATGTGTCCACTGAGGACAGCCACAGGTTTGTTTGATTCCACCCTGGTGCCTGATAAATCTTCTGTACTTTGGAGTTGAATTGCTTCAAAGGCCTTGAGGTGAGTCATCAAGTTGGTCCCAGCAGGGTAAATTTTGCTTTGGAATGTCACACTGCCTTTCAGGTGGATGGTCACTGCTGTGAGATCCTCATGGGCTATAACAGCAAATTCTTTTAACGTATAATATGTATCTTCTGTTGGGGTGACCACATAATATAACTGTCCCAACTGGTGGATGGGATAGACAATTGTACCACCACCTGTATTATGTATATGATTGTAGGAGGAGACAGAGATGTCTTTGTCAGCTTCAATCAGCACCATCCTATCAAAGACGTCAGTCCCCACCATTTCTAAGGAGATCGGTAATTCAATGGGAATGATTTCTCCTTCATCAATGGTTCTGTGTAGTTTCATATTGTTTCTTGACACTGTAATATTGGTTGCAGGATGATATCCAGAGATGTACAGCTCAAGTTTTTGATTGTGTTTCGCACCGCTTAAATTCTCCATGAAGGCAGTAACAAATTTCTTCCCCCGGGAACTTACATTACAAGTTCTCCCTGAAAGAGAGAAGAGGACTTAAGAGAGGATAAATTGTCTTGAGCATGCAATAAGGATGAAAGGCTGAAAATGATAGAGGTTAGGCAGTTGATTGCCATAAGTTCAAATTACAAAATGACAATTAAACATGTACTTTCTTCAATGCCCTTAAAGAGTTTTTGCAAAGATACATTAGTGGGGAGAGATTTCCAGAGGAGCAACATGGCAGATATCCATTTGCTACTTCACTTCCAAGTGAGCATGGGAAACAAAAGGCAGAGGGTCCATGTGGAAAGAGGGCACAGGGTTTGAACAGAGAAGAGTTACATGTTATGGAATGAGCCTTGCCCTTAACGGCTCTGTGACTGCTGAATGTTGTCATGGAAACTCTTCTAGAGTTGCAGTAAAGTTAATACTCTGTCCATGTTGTGTCAACCTCTGAGAACCTTCAGCCAAGTTTTGTTTCTCTGCCCTTGGGGGAACTCAACCATATCCTTTCCATCCATGTTCACTTTTAGAGCCCATATGCAGAGAAAATGATGTTCTGGTTTGGCCCATTATGGAACGTGGCCCATAACATACTATGGAACATCCAATACACTGGTTCAATCTGATGGAGATTGCACATGCTTAACCTAGAGAATAATCTAGGCTGGATAGTGTAGTCCCATTGGCACCAAATCACCCATGGATACCTTCCTTAATGTTCACAGTCTTGTTTCCTAACCCAGCTATTCACATATAAGTGTTTTGAGTTTAAAAAAAAAATTAAATGAAAATGGGTTGGCAAGTTGCCAAGCAAACTACTTCCTGCACTAACTTTACTTTCAAGGAAATCGGAAGGATCCACATTGATTGTCTTAGAAAACAAAAATGGCAGATAGCTTGGAGAGACAGCAGGAAGCAAGGTAGCTGGCTTTAGCAGTTACCAGAACAGCCATATTAGAACAGCCAGTTAGAACCTGTATAATATTTGCTCAAATTCCAAAATGTTTCCACTCTTGGCTTAGTCCACCATTCAAATGCTCCAGCTATATATGTATGTATGTATGTATGTATGTATGTATGTATGTATATTTAGTGGGGATAATCCCTTTTGTCATGGGGAAAATCTGACTATCTGGTCACTAAGAGTTGACACCAACTTGATGGCACATAATCAAGCAATGCCTTTTGATCATACGTCCCTCGAAAAACTCTGTACTATATGGATTTTCTATATGTAGAATGCCTCGATACTTTCATCTTCTGCTCACACCCCTTCTGGCAGATCTTTGAAAGTAAGCTTAGGTTTTAAAACACTTAGAGGAGGAGCAAAAAGCCTGT